CAGGCAAGTTGAAAAGTCACCTAGAAGACTCTGTAGGCGTGTCTGTGCAGAAGTAGATCAGGTGATATGACTCACCCCTAAATTCCTGAAGTACCATTTCCTGGGCTGGGGTCCCAGACTGGATAAAAGAAAGCCAAACACTGGCATTTATCTCTCTCTCCAGTTCCCAGCTATGGGTGTGATGTCAGCAGCCACCCAGGTTCTTAGCTCTTGTGGAATATTCTTTACACTGAAGATGTGTCATTGTGTTTGATTTGATAAAGAGCTTAATGGCTATCAACTAGGAAGGAAGAGTTTAGATGGGACTTCCATGGACAGAGAGGAAGAAAGGTGGAGATGCCAGCCAGACTGGGAGGAAGCAGGATGGGCAGCACAGAGTAAAGGTAACTGAGCCACGTCAAAGAATGTAGATTTAAAATATGGGTTAATTTAAGTTATAAGAACCAGCTAGGGACAAGCCTAAGCTTTCGTAATTAACAATAGGTCTCTATGTCATTATTCGTGAGCTGGCAGTCCTGATGAGAAAGTTTGTTCATACTTGCCCCCATGACACCCACCGTGGCAGACTGTAGGAGGCAAAATCAACCCTACTTTTCTTAAATTGCTTATGTCTGGTAGTTTGTTACAAGCAACTAGAAACATCGGAGAGAACTTGAGAGCATGAAGTAGGTGCCTTGCCTCCTCTTAAGTAGCCTGTAAGCATGGTCTCCAGCAGCCCAGGGAGGGGCTGGCACTTGGAGGGCTATCTGAGGGGAGGGGCTGCTCCTTGGAGGGCTTTCTGAGGGGACAAGGGGATGGGGTCAGGGAAGACAGAGAGGCAGGGCTTCCACTAACCATCCCAGACTCCTTGGGTATAGGGTGCCAACAGGGCTTCCACCTAAACAGAAGGTATGCTTGCCCATGCTATATGCCACATACGACTGACGAAGGGACTCTACACATTAAGACACAGGACAGGATCTCTCACACTGCATGGAAATCAATTAGAAATGGACCAAAGACCTTATGATAGCACTCGACACTTCGAAACTGTCAAGGGGGGGGCCGCTTAGAATAAGATATAGACAAGGTGTTTATGCAAAAGGTTTCATATACCACAGGAAATAAGTATTTCCTAAGGTATATTCCCTATGTAGGGATGACAAAATGAGGTTGCTTGAAATTAATATGCTTCTGTACCTCAAAGGTAGCCAGCAGAATGTAAAGAAAGCCACAGAACAGGGGGAATCTTGTCAAATACACTACAGACAAGGGGCTGAAGTCTGAGTGTATACAGAACTACAAAAACCATACACACACACACACACACACACACACACACACACACACACATTCATACCTTCTAATCAATAAATTAATCAATGAACTAAACAGACAGTTCCCAAAACAAGAACCATAAAAGAGCAATAAACATCTGAAAAGGTGTTCAGCATCCTCAGCCTTCAGGGTAATGCAAATTAAAAGTTCCTTGACAGTACTTCCCACTCTGGTCAAATTAGTTGTCATTGAGAAAACAAATAATAACAAGCCCTAGTGAGGCTGTGAGGAATGAGGAGCCCTTATTAGGTGCTGGTTGGATTGTAAACTGACTTAGCCACTATGGAAAGCAGAATGTAGGTTTCTCAAGAAACAAAAAATACAACCAGGTATGCCACTCATGGGCATATATCCAAATTATCCAAGTCCTGCTGTTATTCTTTTGCTTAAATTAAGAAAAAGGCGCAAGATGAGACATGAGAACAAGAGATACATTAACCATAGTTTATTATAGGCCGTCAGAGCAGAGAAAGAGAGGAGAGGCAGAGAGTAAGAGAGAGCAGAAGTGAAGGGAGAAAGAGAGAGGCAGAGTTGAAACTTTTAAAGGGAAGACCACACATGCCCACTGAGGTTCCACGCATGTGCAGAGTCCTCATGCAGGTCAGTAATGCATGATGAGTGGTGATGGTGTAGCTCGTCCCTGTGCGTGCCGCACCCGTCGTCAGGGGGCAGGGTCATCTTGGTGCCTGTCCTAACACCTGCCACAGAGATGTTTTCACATCCATGTCTATTGATGCAATATTCCCAAAGCTAAGATGTGGAACCATTCAGTTGGGCCTAAAAAGGCTCGGATTCGAGGCCCAGTGTAACCTCCTGAGCCCGGCTAGAGTTTGACTACCTGTCTCTGGCCTGTAACCTCCACAAGGCAGTGACTCAGCAAGGCCTGATGTTAAGACTGCCCTCTGCCTAGCTACCTGCCAGCTTGGTGGAATATTATTGGCCCTTACTCCTCAGGTCACCTTACCCCATCCTAAGATTCCCATCTCCTACCTCAACCCTATATAAGTTCCTGCCTGTTGCAATAAATCGAGACCCTGCTTCCACAAGTCTCCCCACTCAGTGTATATTTCTCCCTGGTAAGTAGGAGGAGGGAGGGTCTGAGTCATCAACCCTCACCATCCTTCTCAGCACCAGGTAAAGACCAGCTGGACAGGCTCTTCCTCAGATCTATCTGACAGAGAACCCAGCAATTACTGAGGTCACTGCTGTCATTCTCCAAAGGATGACAAGTGTGTACTGTGTCAGCCACAACACAGGAAGCAGGAGAAACAAGGAGTAGACGGCTTAGAGGCCTGCATTCTGGGAGATCTTAGCCTGAATTGAGGACTAGGAAGAACACCTGTGACCTACTGTGTGCCCATCCACTGAGCCGTTTCCCAGTTGAGAAAAATAGACTAGACTCCCCATCCTCCCCAACTCCTTAAAGTGCCCCACCACACACAATCTTCCCACAGTCCCTACAAAGGGAGGATCAGTGGCTGCCAAACACAAGTCCTCAGGCTCTGGGAAGGTAAGGAAGGCCTGTATTGTGAACCCAGGACCTGCCTTTGCTTAGGGCCAAGAACTGGAAACAGCTGCACACTGAACCCCTTAGATTCCAAGCACAGAGGGTTCTGCCTGATCTCTATCCAGGAGGGCCATCTGGAGGCTGCAATAGAGAACAGCAGGAAACGCAGGGATCCACGTCTCAAGTGTGAGGCCAAGAGGCCTGGGGATCTGTCTGCGGGGAAGACATTGCTATATGTAAGACTGTGTGAACACGCCTCGGGTTCAGCCCTGAGCAGGGGCAGCTCCGGAGTAGGCAGCAAACAGACACAGAGTGGAGGGGGAGGGGGAGTCTCCGGAATGGGGAAGAATGTGTTTGGGGCCTCTCACCAGTTGAGAGTCAGGAATTCCATCACAACCACCACTTGCTGTGAAGGTTGCTGACAGAGAGACAGTATTTCTTTTACAGAAGAGATGTTTTCAAATTAAAAGGTTCTTCCAATAAGGCCTGATTCCTTTCCTGGTATTTCTGGGACTCTTGCAAGCAAGACTAAAACTTTGTTTATGGAAAAGAAGAAAAACAAAAAAGAAACGGGGGGGGGGACTTGCCCTGCCTTTATTTTACTAACCAGCTTGGATTCCATCCAGTGAACCCAGGAACCACATCATAAATTAATTTATATAAAAAAGGTCCTTAGGTACCTGTTGAGGTGTGTAAGCACCAACACCTAGTAAGTGGCTGTTTTCAGAACCCCACGCCCACATCCTGAGAGGCAGCTTCCCTCCCAGGTGTCTCTCTTAATTAACTCGGGCTCTGCTCCAGACTCACTCACTCATTCTGCAGTTATTTTCTGTGGTGAAATCAAGACTCTGGCTTCGCCTCAGCAGAGCTCTCTAAAAGGTGAGGAACCCCTGGTAACAGTAGGAAGCTGCTTCCACCCAGGGCAAAGGGTTTGGCAATCTAAGCCTGAAGCTTGAGAACCAGGCCAGACCCTGGGAGAACAAGAACAGAGCTGCATTAGAGATGGAAAGGAAAGCCCGCTGAGAGCAATATCCATGACCCCCCACTCCCCGCATGCCCGTCTTTCCTCTGGCTGTCAGACTCACACCAGCCTCCAGATGGTCATGGCCTCAGCCCCAGAGACGATTTTAATGAGTGTGGGCTAGAAAGAAGGCTTTCAAAAATGTAAGCATTTAAAATGCACGTGGCAGTTTAAAAACTTTCCCTGCTCAATTCCCACTTGTCAACGAGTGAAACTTTTCTAGAGGAATGAATGGGGTTAATGAGAGTACACAAGTGACCCTGGTGTAGTCTGTTATTCAAGCAACTAACAGTAATTAGTCTCACCGTCTGTGACATCACAGACCCCAATTTTCATCATTGGAGCTGGAACACTGTTCTGTCCATGATCACTTGGTTGGATTGAAAATCCCTCTGTGGTGATGAGAAAAAAAATCATAGAACAGGGCCTGCCCACTGAAACCTGAGATTTCTCAGACTGCACGTATAGGTGTGATCTTTTCACTCCACTCAACACAGAGCCTCAAACATTCACTTGAGGTTATTTAACTGATATTTAACTGTTAGCTAGGTGGATGTATGAATAACTGGAGGGACACCACATTGTAAAAAAAAAATCACTGAAGAAGATATCCTAAGAGAAGGGAAATTCTAGGGAGAGGGTACAGACAGCTTAGTTATTGAAGTGTTTGCCTTGCAAGCATGAAGATTGAGCTTGGTCCTCAGAATTAAACTTATAAGCCACCAGTGAGGTGGTGTGCACTTGGAAGTGTCAGAGAAGGGAGCTAGGCGGAGTCCTGGGGACCGATGGCAGGCAGGTCCCTGGGTTCCAAGGAAAATTCTGGACTCCTCACACACTTTTCTGAAGGTCTTAGATTTTTCAAGTTTATTAGAAATGCACAGTGGTGCTAACAGTTCGGTAACAACTGTCTTTACTCAGATTTCAAATAGGCCAGTATTTAGAAAGAGACCTTCTAGATGTTTTTTAAAAAAATAGAAATAAAACAAGCCAGAATTGTCTTTCTTCAGAGAGTGAATATGCAAGTTTGGGTAAGGAGGTGAGAAGAAAAACCATGGTCTTAGCAACCAAGAAAATCAAAGGTCTTAGCAACCGAGGAGGAGGAAAACAAGAACTGCACTGTGTTATGAGTCAGACTGGGTGGAGAGATATACCGCCCAGTTATTGCCTGATTCCTTCTCAGGCTAAATATAAGTGACCGCAGCGGGAGGCACCAGCTTTATTCATTCACTCCTGCTTCTGCTGGTGACGGTCCTGGCAGGTGCAGGTGAGTTCTGGGAAGGGACCTCTGTGGCCCTGGGAGGACCTGGGGACACCGGAGACTTGTGTTACTCAGATCCTAGTCAAGACCTCTGTTGGCTGCCAGAGTTGGACAGAAAAGAACCGTTGAGGTCTGCAAAGAAGCAGGCAGAGCCCCAGGGATCCAGGAGGGAGCCCCCTACCACACACACCCAAAGAGTTCTAGGAAAAGATGAGGCAAGGAATGGAGATAGTGAGCAGAACAAAAGACGAAATGCTTCAAGTCACAGCCCAAGTATGTGAAGAAATCTGCAGTCATCGGCATGAATTACTTAGGCTTCTTCTCCTCTCTCCCGAAAGCTCAAGTCATGGCTGCAGCCAGCCAGGAATGGAACAAGAATCCATGAAGTGGGTTGCAGGCATCAGGTTCCTTGTTTGGTCTATGCTCACCTGGGTCCAGCCTGTTGGTGAGTGTGCACTTTCCCCATCAGGTGAGTTCCTGGGATCTAACTGAGGGTGGGGGGAGGAGAGGTGTAGACTAGGCACCATGACTAGGGGAGCTAGTCTTCCCTGTGGAACCACTCCTGGCCCCTTTCAGTCACCCACCTCTTCTGCGGGCTCCTCTGGATCTTCAGGCTTGTTCTTCACCTCACCCCACACTGCTCTAGGACTTTTTAGATATTGCAGAGTGGGAGACAGGGCTAGAAGAAATAGGAGGTCAAGATGGCAGATAGAAATCACTAAACAGAGTTCTGTGACTGGATGTGATGGGCACCCAGTATAAACCCTCTAGGAAGTTGGCAGTCTCCCGCGCCCAGGCTTTGTGCATGCTACAAACTATCTTCTCCATTCTCCTACAAATTCAGCTGTCTGGTTATGATGCCACCTGGCCCCACTGATCTGGTTTTCTATGTGCTAACTCTGGGAAAATACTTTTCTATTTGTGGTGATTGCCCTGCAGGCTTTACAGCAGGCAGGGAAAGGACAAGTCAAGAATGAAACTCATAACTCAGCCCAATTTTATTCTACCCAGTGCTGGACCAGGACTTCTGGAGTCTGGCCCAGATCATTTTATACTTTAGCCATATTTAAGCACAGCACCTGGGACTGAACACAGATCCTCTGTAAGAACGGCAAATGCTCTTAACCACTTAGCCATCTCTCCAGCCCCAAGATGTACTTTCAGTGGATATACCGACATGATGCTTAAAAATACTTTAAGGTCAGAACACAAAAGAAAATATGCATGAATAGGTTTTAATGGACAAAATGTTGACCTATTCCAAGCACAGGTGCTGATTATTATGGTTTATTTATAAATGTATCTTATTTGAGTCGAATTCTCCATAATGAAATGTCCTAGAAGGGCATGCCATTTCTGTAAGATCATGCTCTAAGGCATGCTCATTCTTCTTTACCAAACTACTCAAATGATCAAATCTTTTGCATATATGTACTAATTTTTACTGTAAAACTTTTCTGTTCCTTCAAAATTTCTAACAGATAATATCATAGAATGTTTCCCTTTATGTATAAAAACTATGTGATAATTAACTAACCCATAAATGAGTTTGGAAAATAAAATAAAAAAATAGTATCCTGCCACAACAGTCCCTCAATAGACACTCCCGTCAGAGGTGACCTTAGACTGACAGTTAACGCTAATCAGCAAAGATGTTCAAGTCTATGATTTCAGAGTACAGATGAGTAAAAACTGTCTCCATACAACTTCTGTGCCATCCTCACCCACCATCCTGTCTCCACAGTCTACATGTGTCGCGTCTATCTCGACCAGCAAGAAGGACACGACCACGACTCTTCTTCAAGCAGTTTATTCAGAAACCTTGTACATCAGCTTCTACCTCTACCTCAGCTTCTCTCTCTGCTTCTATCTCTGCTTCTTCTATATCTCCCAGCACCCTGGCAAGCCCTTAAAAGCAAGCTCATTACTCAATTAGCTCACGCCACCTGGCGATCCTGGATAGGTCACAGCTGGAGGCGGCACACCAGATCCACTAAGCACTTCCAAATAAGGCTTGTTTACAG